CGTAAATGCATTTCCCAACGTTAAAAAAAAAAAAAAAAAGGATTGCTCCTCACAGGGACATTTTAGCAGAACCCGGAACTAGGCAGAACATCCATCAGTGTATATTTTTGGACAACAAAATAAGAATGGCACTTCATTTAAGTAACTTATACATATATATATATATATATATATATATATATATATATATATATATATATATATAAGACGGAGGAGGATTTAGTTACCTTTTTCTGTTATGTAACCTTATTATTGTTTAAAGTCACTATGTTCTTTAATTTACTTTTTATTGCTTCTAAATAGATTTTGAATTAAGAGCAGAGATTTAGTCTCGAGCGGGGTCGAGACGCCATCACGACATTCTTTGGAGATACGTGGCTTAGTAACGTTGGTTGATCATAAAGAGTTATATTTGATATTGTATTTGGAAGTCGATGATCGGTGACTGTGAACCCGCTAGCTCTAAATCATTAGAATTACCGTTTCAAGTTTATAACATTGTGACTTCCCTGATTAAATTGTGTATTGAGCACTGAATACTTTATTATTCGAGCCCTGATAACGCCCACAAGATGAGTACCCACTAAAGATGATGTTCGTAGTATATGGATAACACGACATCAGAAGTGGTATGATACCCGAAGAACAGGGCAAAGATAGATGACAGCGGCCATTTGAAAATTTTGTTGCAAAAATTTTTTTCAGACTTTGAAACGAAATGCGATGTCAAATGTTATTAAAAAAGCCGCACAAAATGGCGATGCATATGCGAGTTGTTTTACAGGAGATTTACTTTTTGATAATCATGAATCATGATGATATGATATACTCGTATGCAAGATGCTCAAAAGATTAAAATAATCATAGATGTCTCAATTTAATTTTTATGAAATGACATGACGTCGACAAAGATTTGTTGCTAGCTGGATTTGATTTTCTTGATATTATCGCAAAAATATTTTTGAACACAATATGTATGGAAAAATTAAATGGAAAATTTGTTTATTTCAGGATGATATATGAAGTTAATTTATTTACTCGATAAATTACGAGAATTATTTTTGAAATATTTTTGTTCGATGCTTATAAGGACCTTCTTCTAGTTCTGAAATAAAATATAAATCATGTCAGAATTTTAGAGTGTCAAAAATGTTTTGTATTGTAATTGTTTGTTTATATTTTCTTTATTTCAGGATTTCTAAAGTGAAAATAATGAGTTGATATTTATGTTTAAAGATTTGACTAACAGATTTAACTATTTATCGACGGAAAATAAACGGACGATATTTGTGAATTATACTGGGAAAATTACATAGTTCCTTTAACTTGCGTATTCATTTCGGTTATAAAATGTTTATTTAGCAGTTGATACTAATTTAAAAAAATTCTAGCAGTCCATCAGGTAAAAGATGTTCCAAAAGAAATATGAGAAATAGTCAACTGTATTAATGGTGATACAGCGAAAAACTAATGTTTGTGTACACTCTGAAGACATTCTCATACGCAGGCTAAGATAGAAATCTTTGATTATAATACCGATTTTACATGTCCTTATTTGGTCCAAAGATTAAACATAATTAGATCGAGTCGATGGTAGTAACAACTATGTGTCACAATTATTAATAATATGAATTTTCAGGTGCTTTGTTTCAAGTGTTCAAAATATGTATTTAGCGTAGAGAGGACGATTTCTTCAGCCAGATAAATAAATCACGCTAAGCCAGACCACATGAGACGTATACGATTCCCTAGAAGAAGACGGTATCCAGAGATGCTTGGGCTGTGCAAGAAAATGGATATCTGTGGACTGTTTCATTTAATCTAATATAAATGTTATATGGTGAGACGTTTCCATTTTGTTTAGATGTGTCAGGCAATTGATATCGGAATGTACCGTTAAAGACGGTTATAATTTTAGTTATTTCCAATAATATCTAGCAGCTTAACATTAATGAACCTACGTAGCACAAGCTAGGGTGACTGAATTGACGAAGTTATGTAACATTGACAAGCCGAAGTAGGACGATGAGGCTGTATGATTCTGATATTGCTGTGCGATGATGGTGGAAGGTGGTATTTAGACAATGGGGTGCCTATTTGGCGTTGAGTCTTTGTAGCAAATGTAGCCTGAGTGGCGAGAGTTGCCTGTGTGGCAAAAGTAACCTATGTGGCACATGTAGCCTGAATGGCGAGAGTTGTCTGTGTGGCATCGCGTCGGTTGGGTTCTGTCGCATCGTTTGATTTGTGTGGCACCGACTTAACTTGATTAACATATGAGACACTCACTTCTGTAACTTGTACTCAATGATAACTTAGTGTGTGTAGTTTTAAAGTTTCAGTCAGTTTAAAGATTAAGCTTTGAAAAATTTGTCCTAAAGATAACTAGCTTATTCAATGATTAAGGAGAATAAAGTTAAAAATAACCTAATACTGTGTACGTGTCTGTGCGTACACTTTTGCACTAAATATCTACTGCACCGATGGCTAGTTTTAGAAAGTTTGGCCACCATGGTCAGTTATTTGGTCAGGAATAGCCGAGCTAATGTTACTTTTTCTATAGATCGATTTTCAATATCACACGAGGGCGCGTGAACAGCAGGACGGCCGTGGTAGAAGAAATAGCGGTGGTGAGTGCCCCACAAGATCACCCGAGGGCGTGTGAACAGCAGGACGGCCGAGACGGAGGAGGATTTAGTTACCTTTTTCTGTTATGTAACCTTATTATTGTTTAAAGTCACTATGTTCTTTAATTTACTTTTTATTGCTTCTAAATAGATTTTGAATTAAGAGCAGAGATTTAGTCTCGAGCGGGGTCGAGACGCCATCACGACATTCTTTGGAGATACGTGGCTTAGTAACGTTGGTTGATCATAAAGAGTTATATTTGATATTGTATTTGGAAGTCGATGATCGGTGACTGTGAACCCGCTAGCTCTAAATCATTAGAATTACCGTTTCAAGTTTATAACATTGTGACTTCCCTGATTAAATTGTGTATTGAGCACTGAATACTTTATTATTTGAGCCCTGATAACGCCCACAAGATGAGTACCCACTAAAGATGATGTTCGTAGTATATGGATAACACGACATATATATATATATATATATATATATATATATATATATATAGTTTCTGGTTGGTCCCATAGTCACCAAGTCACGATCTGATGATGGGATCCCAGGGAAATCGAAGGCAACTCTCAAATTTTATAGGCACTTATTACGTTTTTCATATATTTCCTAAAGCTGTTCAAGTATTTGCGTCTGATAATCATCATCTCCTGTGGTTGAGCTAATGATGGAAGGTACAACTCCTCAACGGTTAGGAGTTAAAAGAAAATTCTTTCAATATTATACGTAATTATAGACCGATAGTTAAATTCTTTCAGGCTCTTATTAACCGACTTCAAAAAATGGAGGAGGTTCTCAATAACTCCTCAACGGTTAGGAGTTAAAAGAAAATTTTTTCAATATAGACCGATAGTCAAATTCTTTCAGGCTATTAGAGTAACCTGATAATAGTAGGTAAATCTCATTCACGAGTACTTTGATCCTATATCGTAACCAGGGTCTGATGCTGGTGCTGGAAGGTGCCCATAGGAACTCCGCAATAAAACGACACTTTATATTAACTTAATTAAGTACATTAATTAACTTTACCTTTTGTCAACCGACTTCAAAAAGGAGGAGGTTCTCAATTCGACTGTATTTTTTTTTATGTTTGTTACCTCAGAACTTCGTCATTTATTAACCGATTTGGACAATTTTTGTTTTGTTTGAAAGGGTATACTTCCAGATTGGTCCCATTTAAATTTCAAAAAAAAAATACCACCCCTAAGGGCGGAAAAATAGGTAATAATGAATTTAACCTACTTCTAATTGTCATATTGACTTGAAACTTTGCGAGTGTTTCTATTTCCGTTGATAGTACAGTGGTTCGGTATTGTTGATCTGATCTGATGGTAAGGCCAGAAGGTGGATAGGTGGAACTCTTCAACGACTAATAGTAGATACTTTGAGTTTGGACTTATTTTATTTGGTTTGACAAGCCTAACACTTTAGAATTCTTACTTTGCTACTACTGTCTACACTAAAAAGGGAAAAATAAAAACTTTTTAACAAAAAAATAAAAACCGACTTCTAACAAAAGCACTAAAAAGTAAAAAATAACTGATTGGTAGTTTTCATTTACTATACATACCTAATCAAATATTTTCGAAATCGGTGCCAGCCCATACAAAGCAAAGCACACCGACTTCGAAAATATTTGATTAGGTATGTATAGTAAATGAAAACTACCAATCAGTTATTTTTTACTTTTTAGTGCTTTTGTTTGAAGTCGGTTTTTATTTTTTTGTTACATAGAACTTCGTTATTTTGTTATCGTAAAAAGAAAAACAACAACATAGAACTATGTAAAATTGAATATTTTGTAGTTATAGTGCCGCTATCTAGTGGTTTGTTTTTGCAAAACTGTAGCTAATGACACATAAAACCTTGTAGCATTAATAACTAAATAAGTACTAAAATTGTAACATAGAACTTTGTAATTGTGAGGCAACGATATGTATTATAAAATTTATAATTAATTTAATTAAAATCACTGCGTAGTCGAACTCACTATCAGAGTCTAAAGGATGGCTAACTACCATTCTTCCATTGCCATCCTTAATTATGTATTTCAATAAATAAAAATTAACTTTTTTGTCGATTAGGCAGGATATGTAGAAACCTTTGTTCGTGTACCTAGTTTTTAAGACCTAATACCTATTACCTACTCTAGTTACTACATTATTTCAGCGGCAAATTTGACAACTGACAAGTGACAGCTAACAGTAAACAGACAGTTAACATTAACAATAAAAAAGTAAACTTATTAATCTGCCTGCTATTACTCATAGAAATAAAAATTAAAATAGTATAGAATAGTACATGGTAACCGGCTTAGAATATATTCGCATTTTTATTAATAATATTTGTTGCAGGTATAATTAAATATGTCGGAGGAATCTCAAGTGCGATCGTTTTATTCCGGTAAAAACTTCTTCATAACAGGAGGTACTGGTTTTGTTGGATTATGTCTAATAGAAAAAATACTGAGAAGTATACCTGATGTAGGAAAAATATACCTATTAATGAGACCAAAGAAAGGAAAGGAAATATCTGAGAGGCTACAAGAATTTCCTGTTCACCCAGTAAGTAGAACTTAGAACAAGGTTTATTAAATAATCTTATAATTAGTATTGTTCTTGATAATTATATCTGGGTTCTAAAATTGTTTTTCCTTTTAAGAAAGACAATTTATTTTATTTTTATTGTTTCTGTTTTAAGCATACAAATTGCTATTAACACTTGCAAGATTCATTGTGGTACAATTATTTTTTATACACAACAATTAAGGATTATCATCATAAATATCAAGTAAGATAACAGTAATTGTTGTAGTAGAAGAAGTCACAAGTTCATTTAAACTACTAGTAAACATGCATTTTCCTCATTTATTTATAACTTGTGCCCATTCAGTGCATGGATGTGTCAAAAAGTTTGATAATAAATCATTTCTGTGTTTTGAATTAGGTATCATATTTCTGCTCAGATAAACTATAAATAAAATCAATATGCTTGGAATGTGGTGGGATCATATTCATGAAACAATATGATTTTTTATTAGTTTAACGGAATCAAGTGCTTTTTGAATAGTTGCTGGTAGTTCAGACTTATCCACTCCATCTTCTTTTTTTTCACTTTATCATTTTTTTAATGTATATTTTGTTTCTCATTATATTTCAACACAATATATATTAACTATAATTTATAAATGTATAAATAATATAGAATGGCTGTTGCACTAAAAAGTGTATTGATGTATGGGTTTTAAGGTAAAACACACAAATTGAAGTAATTTCTAAATTATAGAGAGTTTTTAATCATAACGAATGAAATTATAAAGAGTATACACTGTATTGTTATTTTCATTAAAAAAAATAGTGACTCATTCTTGCTTCGCTCGGGTTCGTCCCTGGGTATGTTATAAGGGTTAGTATGGAATAGACAGACTATATATTATACATAGGTATGGTGAGTTGTTTTGGGTTGTATTTTCCTGTGGGAATGATATAATATCCCGCTGTAAAACATAGCATATGTCACTCCCCAGACCTCCTAACTATCTCCAAATAAAATATCACGCCAATCCGTCACTCGGATTCGACGTGAAAGAAGAACCAACAAACAAACACACACTTTCAAATTTATAATAGTAGTAGTCTGGATATCGAAGTACATATTTCAAATAATAAAATAATTAAGATATATCTATCAGCATTAAATTTTTTAATGTCAAACTTACATACCTTATAATAATATTTATATATGTATAATCTTGTATCTTCTATCTATATAAACTAGCGACTCGTCCCTAGCTTGTTTTCCAATACAGGCTTTCATCCCCATTTTCACCCCTTTAAGGGATAATTTCCAGGATAAAAAGTACCACACGACTATCGGTTACTAATTATAAGACCAAATTTCATCTAAATCGGTTCAGTAGATCCAGAGATAACCTCACAAACCTACAACCTCACAAACGATAAAAATGAATCACCGAAAATATGTATGTACGCGCATAACTTCCGATCGACTGCACCGAATTATTCAAAAAAAATTTTTTTTTGTGTTTGTTATTGTCAGGACATAGGCTTTGTATTAAAGAAAATTAAAATGAAAATTAACTTAATACATTTATTATTATTTATATTTTAAATTAAATTAATGGATGGACCGATTTTGATGCGGTTTTTTTCATTTGAAAGCCAGCTTGCGGTGCTTCTTAGCTATGTTTGGTTAATATCGGTCCAGCAGTGTAAGAGTATCAGCTCTTTTCCAAAATGAAGTAAGGCATTTTGGCGTATGATTACTCGATTAAGTTCTTCACGCGTGCCAGTGTAATCGTTAAATGACAATTAATTTGCGTAGGGAGTTTTTTTAATTTATAATTATCCCGGAGTATTTAAGGGGGTGAGAATGAGGATGAAAGTTTGTATGGGGAAGCAAGCTAGCTAGTATTTTATAATAAAAAATAATGAACAACTGTTAATAGCTTTACGATCGACACCTATCTCAACTTAATTTGTGTTTTTATGAAAATAAATATCTTTAAACTGAACTGGTATGTAGGCCAACGTATTTACCTAGATGTATTTATGCGTGAGTTACGGAACCCTAATGCCACGAATATGCTGACGTGCCAAATGGATGAAAGCTTCCCAGGCGACCACCGACGAGTTTTCCGTATTAGCCTTAAATGCCCCATTGTTCTAATTTCTAATTTTATTAATTGTAATATTATTTTAATCACTCTTTATTCCCACTTCGAGTAAAGATGTCGTCAGTTTTAAGATAATTATTGTAATATTAATAAATAATAAAAAATTATTCGGTTTTTTTCAACCTCCTGACTGCTGCAAACGTAATTCATGTATCGTGTATGTTAATTTATGTAAATATGATTTATAAAATGGCTCATTAAAATTTATAGTTCAGCTATTATGTTAATAGTTACAATGTATATGTATATAATACTAGCATTGCCCGCGGCTCCGCCCGCGTTCAGATGACCAAAAACCAAATTCTTAGGTTTTACATATTAGTATACTCTTACATTGCAGTTTTTTATTTTTTCTCAGAAATGACACATTTTCTCGAGGTAAAAAGTATCCTACATGTTGACCCAGATAACCATCTATCACCATACCAAATTACATCAAAATTCCTCCAGTGGCTTTTGACAGACAAAAATTCTAAAAACTATAGATTCGGCCTCTGTATCGATAATAATGTTTATTTCAATAAGATTTTCCAAAAAATATTTAATGTACAGATTCGGCGTAGTTACAATTTTATTATATGTATGGATCTCCCATACTTACAATTAAATTCTTTAAAGAACACAATTCAATAGTACTTTTAAAAAAAACTCATTAAACATATATCTATTTTTAACCTCCGACGCAAAACGACGGGGTGTTATAAGTTTGACGTGTCTGTCTGGTGGCATCGTAGCTCCCGAACGGATGAACCGATTTTGATATATTTTTTTTGTTTGAAAGGTGAATTAGTCGGGAGAGTTCTTAGCTATGTTTGATGAAAATCGATCCAAGATGGTCTGAGTTTTATTTTTAATTTTTAATTTAATAATTACTTTTTTTAGGTATTTGAAAAACTTTTAGAAACAAAATCAAAAGATATATTCAACAAGTTAGTGGCAATCTCCGGTGATGTTGGTTCGGTAGATCTAGGACTAAGCAGCACGGACAGACAGATTCTTATAGATAATGTGAATGTTGTAATACATTCCGCTGCAACATTGGATTTTGAAGAAGGATTGAAACAGACGGTGACCATCAATGTGCTCGGTACTAGAAGAGTTATGGAATTGTGTGGACAGATAAAGGATTTAAAGGTGTGTTTTTTTTTATATGAAGTAAATTGTTATTGTTTTTTTTTATAAAATTAATTAACTTGTTGTAATTAGATAATCTGTCTCAATGATGACTTTAGATTTTTAGTATTAAAAGTATAAAAATGTCCAACGGTAACTTTAAAAAAAACCAGCTGAATCATGTAGTATGTAAGAAAAATAAAATGTAATTATTTGTAATATTTTTTTTTGTTTATACAAATCTACCCTGGGACCCTGGAAAGGACATAGGATAGTTTTTATCTCGGAAATCATCCCTTAAAGGGGTGAAAATAGGCCTGAAAGTTTGTATGGGGAAACATCCTAGTATTCGATAATTAAAACAAAATTAATAATTAAAAGTCAAATAGTTCTATAATTATTAGGATTTTATTTTATTTTTTACTCTCTACATGGTCACTGGAAAAACTCTTCCATCTGTTTGCTGTAAAATATTTGAGGGAAAGAGAATATAATTAAAAAAAAGAGTTTTTTTTTCTAGGTAATGGTCCATGTGTCTTCAGCTTATGTCAATTCATATCTAACGGAAGTTTATGAAAAAGTCTATGACACACCTGCGGATGTAGAATCTATTATCAACTTAGCGGAAAAATTGAGCGACCAGGCATTACATGATATGGAGAAAACGTGAGTATACCGTTACTATAAAAAAAAAACTAAAAATATAATAAATATGTTGGGACATTAAGACACAGCACCATCTAGTTCCATGGTAAGCTACGAAGCTTGTGTTATGGATACCAGATAGTTGATACACTACACATATATAACTTTAAATACATACATATTATAAATATAAACCCATGACTGGAGTACAAAGATTCGTGATCATCACACAAACGAATGCCCCCAGCGGGACTCGAATCCATAGTAAGGTCAAAGGACAAACAGCCAAATGCGTCGTCAACAATAATATATACACATATTATTTTATTAAATACAAAATTTAAATCATAATAGCCTTTTCCATATGTAATGTGGAACTGGCCTTATCTTACTTATTGTCTCAAAAACACTTAAAACGAACAAACAAAGAGGTAAAGTTTGTGAGGTTGTAGGAGGTAATCTCTGGATCTACCGGACCGATTTAGATGAAATTTGGCAAGAAGATAGTCTGATACCCTGGGAAGGACATAGGATAGTTTTTATCCCGGAAATTATCATTTAAGGTCGTGATAATGGGGATGAAAGTTTGTGTTGGGAAGCATATCTAATATATCGTAATTTCTTATTAGTTGATACTCGTAGTTTTGATATAAGTTTTTGTATAATATTAAAAGTATATGTCTAGGCACGCGGATTATGTTGGCAATTTGTTCTTAATTTTTTTGCGCGGATCCCTTATCCTTTTTCATAAATAAAAGTAGCCTAAGTTATTCCTTATAACATCAGCTATCTACCAGTCAAAGCCCCATCAAACTCAGTCCAGGCGTTTCGGAGATTACCCGGAACAAACAGACAGACAAAATTTATAAAAATTGTTTAGTACATACTGTGTACAATTTCATAAAAAGCTGTTATTTTGACATTACAAACGGACACTTCAATTTTATTTATCTGTATAATGACAATATATTAAGGATAATTCGTTTTATATTCCAGACTTATGAAGGACCATCCAAACACATATACATTCACAAAGCATTTAGCGGAGCATGAAGTGAAGAAATATGAGGATAAATTCCCATGCACTATCGTCAGACCAACCATGAGTAAGACTTGTTTTCATTTTGTAGAATTAATTCTGTCTCGTAGGTAAGTTAGCCTATAACTTTCCTATATCTAATCTCAAACCTTTAAACGAACCATTCTTGTATATTTACTTATTTACTAGCGACTCACCCTCGCTCTGTTCAGGGTCGTCCCTACTTACGTTTTAACGTTTAGTATAGATTTCTCAGAAATGAGATATTTTCCTGCAATAAAAAGTATCCTATACAATGACCCGGATAACCAGCTATCACCATACCAAATTTCATCAAAACCCGTCCAGTGGTTTTTCCGTGATGCGGTAACAGACAGACAGACAAATATTCTAAAAACTGTAGATTCGGTTATAAGTTTGACGTCGATGTCTGTCTGTCTGTGGCATCGTAGCTCTCAAACGGATGCGGTTTTTTTCATTTGAAATCCAGTTTCCTTGCGATGGTTCTTAGCTATGTTTGGTTAATATCGGTCCAGCAGTGTAAGAGTATCAGCTCTTTTCCAAAATGAAGTAAGGCATTTTGGCGTATGATTACTTGATTAAGTGCTTCACGCGTGCCAGTGTAATAGTTAAATGACAATTAATTTGCGTAGAGGATTTTGTTTTATTTTTTAATTTTTTAATAAATATTTTTTCAGTTGTGGCGGCTTGGAAAGAACCAGTTGTTGGTTGGACGTGCTCTAAAGTAGGCCCTCAAGGGTTTCTCATGGGAGCTTCGAAGGGTATGTGGAATAAGTATTATAATACTAGCTTTTTCCCATATGTTAGATAGCCTATAAATCAATTTAGATACAAAATAGTTTTATTCCATTCTATTAAAACTTTTTAGGGTTCCGTACCCAAAGGGTAAAACGGGACCCTATTACTAAGACTCCGCTGTCCGTCCGTCTGTCTGTCTGTCACCAGGCTGTATCTCATGAACCGTGATAGTTAGACAGCTGAAATTTTCACAGATGATGTATTTCTGTTGCCGCTATAACAACAAATACTAAAAACCGAATAAAATAAATATATTTTAAGGGTGCTCCCATACAACAAACGTGATTTTTTTGCCGTTTTAAGAGATAATGGTACGGAACCCTTCGTGCTCGAGTCTGACTCGCACTTGGCCGGTTTTTATTTTACATTAGAATGTTTGTCATTGTATCTGCTACATACTGTGTATGTAATTTTAGTACCAATAAGGTTTTTAAGAAGGTAATATTAGGTTCGTTAATATGTTTATATAATTATAACTGAAATACATAACTGATAAATGTTAAATTATTGCTTTTTAAAGGCCCAGTTGTAACGCTTGGGAAACCGAGTGAAGCGGGTTCAAATCCCAGGTCTCACACTTATATACTTCTTACGTAACGCCTTTGAGACGTCTCAAACCTTAGTCTCTCCCGTGACCATGTGCACTGTAAAGCATTCGAAACGTCGGGAACCAAAAATCAAAATCAATCCGCGAAATAATCGCGAAAAGATAGTTTTATTTAATATATAATTTGTGTCTTTAGGCGTGGTGCGTCGCCTGCCCCTGAACAAGGATACGGTGGCAGACTATATCCCAGTGGACGTGGTGGTCAACCAGCTGCTGGTGGCAGGATGGCACGCCGCTGTCCACAAGTGAGGATAATTTTATATTATAGGGTCTATAAATAATAATAATATGTTGTGACATTAACAAACAGCACCATCTAGTTCCATGGTAAGCTACGAGGCTTGTGTTATGGATACCGGATAGTTGATACACTACACAAAGTACACATATATAACTTTAAAAACATATACATATTATAAATATAAACACCCATGACTGGAGTACAAACGTTCGTGCGTATGCGTATTAAATATTATAGTACATAAATTTTTTTTTAAATCTTATTGAAATAGACATCATAATCGATACAGTGACCGGATCTATAGTTTTTAGAATTTTTATCTGTCTGTCTGTCTGTGACCGCATCACGAGATAACCACTGGACAGATTTTTATGAAATTTGGTATGGTGATAGCTGGTTATCCGGGTCAACATATAGGATACTTTTTACTGCGGTAAAATATCTCATCTCTGAGAAATCTATACTAACCGTTCAAACGTACCAACGTAATAAATATAATCTATACATATAATAAAATTGTAACTTAAGCCGAATCCGTACATTTTATTTTTATTTTTGGAAAATCTTTTTGAAATAAATAATATTATCGATACAGAGGCCGAATGTATAGTTTTTAGAATTTTTGTCTGTCTGTCTGTGACCGCATCACAGAAAAACCACTGGAGGGATTTTGATGAAATTTGGTATGGTGATAGCTGGTTATTCGGGTCAACATATAGGATACTTTTTACCGCGGGAAAATGTCTAATTTCTGAGAAAAAATACAAAAACTGCAATGTAAGAGTATACTAATATGTAAAACCTAAGAATTTGGTTTTTAGTCATCTGAACGCGGGCGGAGCCGCGGGCAATGCTAGTGCTAAATATAATAATATAATATATTTTTTCCTATGTTTTTCCCTCAGGCCCGGTCTGACAGTGTACCACTGTTCGTCCTCAACGCAGAAACCATTCAAATGGTCAATGTTAGAATGCCAGTTCAACAGCATGCTAACTAACTATCCTTTGAAAAGTGCTGTGTGGTGAGATTTGTTTTATTTCATCTTATCTAATCTAATCTAAAGAATAATATAATCTAAAGATAAATAAAATTAAAGTGTCTGTTTGTAATGTCAAAGTACAAAATAACAGCGTTTTAATAAATGCATATGAAATTATATACGGTACTTATAAGAAAAACACATTTTTTTAAATTTTTGTCTGTCTGTCTGTTTGTTCCGGATAATCTGTGAAACGACTGGACTGATTTTGACGGAACTTTCACTGGCAGATAGCTGATGTTATAGGGAGTAACATAGGCTACTTTTATCTTAGAAAAAGAATTAGGGTTCCGCTCAAAAAAATTAAAACGTACCTACGGACGGATCCGATCGAAGCATGGGTGAGACGCTAGTTTTATCTATATAAATGAAAATGAAAGTTAGTATGTTTGTCCTCTATGCGTCCCTAAAGCATTATTGATCCGATTGTGATGAAATTCCGATCCTGCGAAGATGATTTTGATTAATTTAGCCTAATGCTTTATAATCTGTTTCTTATTTGTGGAAACTTAATTGGTAAATTTGTGTATTTTTCGTTTTAAGTTTGTTTCCCTAAAATAAAAAAAAGGGAGTGAATTCATGCAAGTCGTCATCGACATGGTCACGTGACGTGTTAACGCTAACACTCAGAGTGCCGATAGATGTCACAACCAGATAAATGTAAACGGTTCTAATTTATAAATTTTTATTTAAGTTCAAACAATTAATTTGAATATCCAAAAATAACAACTGTTTGTTTATAGTTTTAAGTTTTCACTTCTGTCGGCAGTCCTCATGACTGCTTTTTTTTCTTTGGATTTTTTACCTAAACCATTCAAGCTTATGGACGTTTCTGAGCGAAGTAGGGGAAAGTTGGTAGTGTTTTAATTATTATAAATACTAGAGATGTCTCGAAGCTTTCTTTGGTGCGTCTTTAAGTATGTTTTGTTTGTATAATATTATAGGCCACGCCCAGCAGCGGGACGACAAAAAGGGTTGAATACTAAAATTTATTTTTTTATTTTTTTCTAGAATTTTATTTGTATAGTTCTATTAAGAATGATATATAGTTTATGCATAATATAGTGGTTGCATTAATATAATAATAATATAATATATATTAATGCACGTATTTAATTACTTTTACTTTATTAAAAAAATTAAGTAAATAAATAAATTATTATGAATAAATTAAATACACAAATAAATGAGTATAAATAAAGTAAATAAATAAATGAATATAAATAAATTAAGTAAATAAATAAATGAATATAAACAAATTAAATACATAAATAAATGAATATGTTTCCAGGTACCCATATTTAGATTTCGTCTCATCGCTTTGGCTGTTCCGTCTGTCGGCCATTTTTGTTCACTTCATACCGGCGATTTTTCTTGACATGATACTTAGAATAAGTGGGCAGAAACCTATGTAAGTAATATTTAGTGTTTAGTGTTACCAGTGCAGATAGATTGGGTTAGAAATGGCGGTTTCAGTCTGTACCGTCAGCATAATAATTAAAATTCTGACAAAAAAAATATTTTGGTAAAAATTTATTATGTTTTAGATGACATCATCTAAAACATAATAATTTAGATGTTTGGAAACAGTTTTGGTTGTTTTGAAAACTAATTCATAATATTATTTATTTTTTAATTCATTTTACGGATTGGAAAATTAAATTACATAAAAAAATAATATTAAATTTTTTTGCTGTCTATACGTCGGATGTAATTAAAGACGGATCTGTGACGCCATTCAAATCTCATTCTTTATTTGCACGAGTTTTACGTAATATGTTCTATATTTGTATTGTTTGATAAAGGACTTATTGTGCTTTGCTATTCTACATCATCTATATATATATATACATATATACATATACATATATATATATATATATATATATATATATATATATATATATGTAATAAAATTCTGAGTCGAATCTGTACATTAAATATTTTTTTGGAAAATCTTATTGAAATAGTCATTATTATCGATACAGAGCCCGAATCTATAGTTTTTAGAGTTTTAGTCTGTCTGTCTGTCTGTCTGGGAATGCATCACGAGAAAACTACTGGACCGATTTCGATGAAATTTGGTATGATGATAGCTGGCTATCCGGGTCAACATATAAGGATACCTTTTACTGCGGGAAAATATGTCATCTCTGAGAAATCTATACTAAACGTTAAAACGTAAGTAGGGACGAACCGGAGCGAGGGTGAGTCGCTAGTATATAATAAGAATTCATTTAGTAAACATGCTATTTTGTATTTTAAAATATTTCCTAATGTATAGAACAATATAATTCCTATATTATTCTATAAATAATTAAATAATTTTCAATTTCAGACTATTCCGTCTACACAGAAACGTATGGAACTCGTTGCAACGTTTGGAGAGGTTCATCTTCACAGAGTGGATGTTCCACAACACTAAAACTAGAGAACTGAATGAGTTATTGAGCAAAGTTGATAAGGAGTTGTTCTACATTGACATACAGACGATTGTTGTGAGTGTTTTATTGCATATCTATCCCACGGGAACCGTACATTTTTTCTGTGATAAAATATCCTATATGTTATTCCAGACTATAATCTATCTCTGTGCCAAATTTCATCCAGATCCGTTCAGTCGTTCTGGCGTGAAAGAGTAACAAACATCCATACTCACAAACTTTCACATAATATTAATACGGTTATAATATATTTTTTCCAGTGGCAAGAGTATTTCGTGAATCTCCATCTTGGTGTGAGGAAATATTTGAATAAAGAGAGCGAGAAAACTCTACCCGCTGCCATTAAGAAAAACTACATGTAAGTTAACCTTTATTTTATATTTTATTTATTTATTTAAATAAAATAATCTTATTACAAAATAATACTGATTAATCAAAGTACTCTCTCTGTAAGGTACAAAAAGTATAATTTATAAAAAAAACTTATAAAAAATAAAATTTATATAGTTTTTTACTCTGTATATTTTAATTTTACTGTTTTTCACGTATAAACCAATTAATTTTATACAAGACTAGCATTACCCGCGGCTCCGCCCGCGTTCAGATGACCAAAAACCAAATTCTTAGGGTTTACATATTAGTATACTCTTACAATGCAGTTTTTATTTATTTTTTTCTCAGAAATGAGATATTTTCCCGCGGTAAAAAGTATCCTATATGTTGACCCGGATAACCAGCTATTGTCATATCAAATTTCATCAAAATCTATCCAGTGGTTTTCTCGTGATGCGGTCACAGACAGACAGACAGTCTAAAAATCTAAAAACTATAGATTCGGACTCTGTATCGATAATAATGTCTATTTCAATTAGATTTTCCAAAAAATATTTAATGTACAGATTCGACTTAGTTACAATTTTATAATATGTATAGATATAGATGGTGACATCGACACTATCACAAGGTTCGTGATTTTTTTTATTATCAAAAATTTCAGTTAAACTTAAAAAAAAAGATATATGTTCTTGATCTCAAAAAAAATACACCTTCGTAAAACATCTGAAATAAATAGAATCTGTGGTCAATATAATAGCGTTAGTCCCATTATGTTCTAAATCTTTAAAAACCATAGCCAATGTGTTACTTTGATGTATAAGCGATGTTACTGTAAAGTTTTATCAAAATCAGTTCAGTAGTTTTTGCGTGAAAGAGTAACAGACGATTTACAAACAGAGAGTGGTGACATACGGGATGAAATCTTTAGCTATTTTTGTTCTGTTACGCCAAAGAAGTATAACTTCTTACGTACGCACATAAGAACACACACACGTTTTCTATACAGATAAATAAAATTGAAGTGTCTATTGGTAATGTCGAAATAACAGCGTTTTACTAAATGCGTATGAAATTATATATGGTACTTATAAGAAAAAACAATTTTTAAAATTTTTGTCTGTCTGTTTGTTCCGGATAATCTATGAAACGGCTGGACTGATTTTGACGGGACTTTCACTGAAAGATAGCTGATGTTATAGGGAGTAAAGAAATTAAAACGTCAAAGTATAAAATTAAGCTAACTTTCTATGTACATTTACATAGTAATTTATAAATATTATTTAAAATATATTTATCTTTTACAGATTAAGAATAGTGCACATAGTGTGGCAGATACTCGTCGTTTTCTTCGTATGGTTCCTGGTGTCCAGGGTGTTGGGTCTCGCCATGCTCCATACGCCATGGATGCCACCAGTCATTTACTTCTTGTACAGCTTGCTTTAAAATATACATATTATATATTAGTGATGAAACGGATAGTTTTTTGGCCGGATATCCGGCGTACTGTATGGCCGGATATCCGGGTTCGGTGACCGGATATTTCGTCTGTTGTCAATTATATTAAATAACTATTACTGAGAATATTACATAGATATTTTGTATAATAATTCTTAAATATTTAAAAGTAAATATTTAAAAATAATAATTGCAACTTATTGTAAATCTTTTATCTCGCTTAAGTCCTACAGGTAGTTGCTGGATTCGAATCTCGTATCCACATTTCGTCGTCTCAGGGCTTATTTGTTCTAACCACCAATACTTGTACTTTACGGTAGAGATTTTTCTCTATTTCAAAAGCAAAATTTTATTTCTGATATTTATATACATATATAGATAAAATATTTATTTTGGATTTATTAAAGTACAATATGTATTTAATACCAATAGAATGACATTTAAAAGTCGATAATTCTATATTAAAAACTCTCTCGGTGAATTGGTCATTTGAACACGCACTGAGACGAAGCAAAGTTTGTCATAACTATACTTTATAAATCAATTTTGGTATTGTTCGCCTTAGAATGTTTCTTGGGTTTTTTAAGGAAAAAGTAAAGTTTATAACTATCCGGTATCCAGCCGGATACTGTGTTACTATCCGGTGACCGGCTTACAAAATAGGCCGGATAGACCGGATACCGAATGCCGGATATCCGTTTCATCTCTACATATTAATATAACAATATAATTAAAAACAAATAGGAAATATATATGGCGATAAAGCTTTGTTGAAATATTTTATATTTATTTTACTTTAAGGCATAATAAATTTTCGTATTATAATATTAATAGTAGATTTTCTTCATATTTGATTGATTTTATGTTAGTGGTAAATTCAAAATTGTTAAGTTAGACGTGATATTTAAAACAAAATGGACGTCAGCTTTTTAAGAGACGTTTTTAACTTTTGATTGAAAAAAAAATATTGAAATACATGAATATATGTAGCTTTAGCTTTTTGATTTTTTTTGTTATATCTAAAACTATAATAATTTTGCTTTTTTATATATAAAATATTAATTTTCTTTTTTTTTAAAGATATAAATAAGTTTTTAACGCTCAGTATACAAATTTTCATTTATATATGTATAGTATTTTAATTTTTTTGAGCATAGCCCTAATTCTTTTTCTGAAATAAAAGTAGCCTAAGTTACTCCTTATAACATTGAAAGTCCCGTCAAAATCAATCCAGCCGTTTCGGAGATGACTCATAACAAACAGACAAAAAAAATTAAAATTGTAGTAATAATAATAAGCACCGTATATAATTTCATATGCATTTAGTAAAAAGCTGTTATTTTGACATTACACCCAGACACTTTAATTGTATTTATTTGTATAAACAATTTTAAAATATTTTCAAATATTAAATGTCGAAAAATGATTTAAAGTATACATATATGTAAAAAAAACTGATATTTTTCCATAAAAAAAATATATTTTCAAGTATTATATTTAAAGGTTTTTTATCGTTTATACTTATTTTTAGTTTAATTTTAAAACATAAGATCTGATTGTAAGTTGTTTTAACAACATTGTATTACTTTATATAGACTGGTCTCGGGAATGTGTAGTTAGAAAAACTTTTCTGTAAGAGAGTACATGGATTTTGGATGTTTTAATAAATATTTATTTTTTCAATTGCGTTTTTATTTAATCATACAACCGCTATCTGACACGATAAATTTTATTTTATATAAATTTTAATATTTTATTTGTATTCTTTGTTCATACAAATCCTTATATACAAAATATATGTGTATATATGGCAAAATATATGGCTGTACGTAAAAAGTGCGTGTATGAATGTGTAGACGCGCAAGAAGTAAAACTTCTGTAGGTTATCGGTATTTCTATGAAATTCAATTTATGTATTAAATAATTAGGATTGGTGGGATACTAAAAAACGTGTGTGTGTACTTATGTACGTACGTAAGAAGTTATATTTCTTTGGCGTAACAAAACAAAAATAGCTAAAGATTTCATCCCGTATGTCACAACTCTCTGTTTGTAAATTGAATGATAAATTTTAATAAAAATAATTAAATAAGGCATAATATTAGGCATATTACAATAATATATTTATAGAATATTTGAGGAAAGAATATAAACGGTTACCATGGCAACAAACGTTAGCCTGGCCTGATCACACTTTACGTAACGCTGACTCGCTTATGTGTAACCAGCTTACCCCCCAAGTCAAGCGTGCGTAAGAAGTTTTACTTCAAAAATGAGTGCGTGTAATCTTTACGCGGGGCTGAAGTAGAACTTCTTTGGCGTCGTGGCAGATACTCCAAATACATTAAACTGTACCAAAAATCAAATTATAAATAATATATTTTTAAGTGAAAATTTGTATAGGCAGGTTTGTTTGTATGGGGAGTGAATTCATGTAAGTCGTCATCGACATGGTCACGTGACGTGTTATCGGTAACACTCAGAGGGAGAGATGTCGAAACCAGATAAATGTAAACAAATTAAATTTACAAATTTCAATTTAAGATCAAACAATTAATTTGAATATCCAAAAATAACAACTGTTTGTTTATAGTTTTATGTTTTCACTACTGTCGGCCGTCCTCATGAATGCTTTTTATTAAAAGGTGTCGTCGAAATAAAATATAGTTCAAATAAATATCAAGAGATTGCGTTATGAGTAGATTTGATAAATACCACGATCAGGTAATAAATCAAGTGACGTTGTCGTTGTGATTTTTATTTGTCATCCATGGTTGTGATTTATCTATACATACAATAAAATTCTGAGCCGAATCTGTACATGAAATATTTTTTGGAAAATCTTATTGAAATATACATTATTATCGATACAGAGGCCGAATCTATAGTTTTTAGAATTTTTGTCTGTCTGTTACCGCATCACGGAAAGATTTTGATGAAATTTGGTATGGTGATAGCTGGTTATTCGGGTCAACATATAGGGTACTTTTTACCGCGGGAAAATTACTCATTTCTGAGAAAAAATACAAAAACTGCAATGTAAGAGTGTACTAATATGTAAAACTTAAGAATTTGGTTTTTGGTCATCTGAACGCGGGCGGAGCCGCGGGCAATGCTAGTTATATATAAATATTATAAATATAAAAGTTTGTCAGTATTGATGTTTATTACTCTTTCACGCCAGAACTGCTGGACGGACCTGGATGAAGTTTGGCACAGAGAGAGATTATAGTCTGGAATAACACATAGGCTACTTTTTATCCCGGAAAATATCCGATTCCCGAGGGATAGATTTGTTTTTGTTTTTCTAGAGGCGAACCCGAGTGAGGGTGAGCCGCTAGTGTAAAATAAAAATACAATAAAAGGCTTGAAGTAATATTTATTTCACTCAATTTAGTAACTTAAAAGTTAAACAATTTTAAAACAAAATGCAAACAAAAAATAATACAATTGGTTTAGAAAAAAAATCAACTAGGTACAATAGAAATTTAGGCACTTTCCAATACTTAAAGAGTTTTAATAATATTTTGAATAAACTAAATTTAAATGTATGGAAATGTGCGCTTTTGGAGAACAAAAAGCAATAAGTACATAAAAATGTGATGCATGTATGTATGTATTTGTAGTCAAATGAATTTCCGATATCTTTAATAGTGTAACATAAAATAAAACTAACTACAGATCGATCAAAAAACTACTAGATACAAAATCCCATGCAAAAGTTCTCTTAAAACTGTCACCGATTGTGTTTAGATAATTATTCTAGTTGAATTAAATATACAACAATGTAAATTGAACTTTAAATGCAATACTTAAAGTTGTTTTCACAAAAAAATATTGAAAGCGCGCTCAATGTTTAAATAAGCGCTCATTCGTTGAGGACATTTTTATCGCTGTATGTAGTACTGTTTTGATCGATGCTCTTATACAAAAAATATATAAGAAACGAGTTACTCTCCATTTAATACAAATTATAAATCTTTCAAACTACATCATAATCGAATCAATCTTAGACTATTTGTGACTTAGGCGTCAATAGTTTTTTTTTATTAAAATAGCATTTTTAATATAATATTAAATGTAAATACTTTAAGCATGGACGGCATGCAGCCATTACTTTTTGCAACTACCTTTTATTCCATCAAATAAAAAAAAATGGCGGACAAAACGTGGTAAAATGTCAACATAGAAAAAAAAATGCATTTTTCTAATCTTGCTATTTTGTGTTTTATTACATATATTTTTTTTCAATAATAACTTCACTTTTGGATATTTGTATTGTGAAAATTTTACTATAACACCATTTTGTTCGCTAGATCTTTAAATATATGTAATATGTACTGTTAACAAAATGTTTTACATCAAGTAATGTCGAAATCTGAGTTACTATTACAAAAAACAAAAACTCAGCAAAATTGACATATATTTCGGCCAAAACAAAAAATAGCACTAATATTTAATTAAATGTAATATAATTTTACACCTTAGTTTATTTCTATTACCTTATATTTTTCATGTAATATTAATTTTATTAGATTACATACATTGATATACAAAAACTGAAGATACAGTATTAGCGTCTCAAAAGTGTCCTCAAAAAGAAGTGCACGATTCGAAATTATCATTATATTAAATATCTCCCACAGGTTTCTCAGTAAATAAATGTAAATGATATCATTTTATATTTTTTAACCGAGTATCGTTAACTAAAGTATTTTATATTGCATTTTTTTTAGAGATGTACCGACTAGTGGCCGATTATTCGGGAAAGTCGACTATCCAGTCATATTTATATTCGGCGACTAGTCGGAAAAAAGCACCGACTAGTCGGGCCATTACTTTATTCATATTACTATTATTAAAATAGTGCGATTGAAACGAAATTCCGTCATTATTTGAAATATGTAAAAAAATATGCGCTTTTTTAAATCTCTCTCTTTAATGGCTTGCTTTTCGAATGACAAAATTAAAATGCACGTTGTTTCGTTGAAAAAAGTACTTTATGTCGTGTGATTAAGTTCGAAATTGTGTTTAGACAATTACAACTTTCGATTTTTGAATGTTATTCTTTGGTGTGACTTAACGTCACATGTCGACGCCACTTTTTGAAGAGATATTTGTTAGGAAATGTGTATATATGTTTTTATATATCAATGGTTAAATAATGTGAATTTTCGTATTATTTTACGTTTAGTCTACTTTTGCAATAATAGCTTTAAATATTTTTTTAAAGATTTTTAATGTATTTATTCATTTATTTACACTATTTATTATGTATAGTGCAAATGAGTTTATTGCTAAATAAGAGATTTCTTATGTCTGTCTCAAAATATATAGTGATAATTGTATATAAATAACAATACATATTATAAATGCAAAAAAATGTTAGTTAACAATAAAAAAAAATATGTTGTTTTAGAAGGGAATATGGCACAAAAATATGTAATATTTTCATTTGACTTTCTTCAAACAACTTTATTCGGACTATTTTAAACTAAAATAAAAATATTTCTTCCAAATTAAAGTGTCTATTACATAAAGACATAAGAAAATCTCGAACCACTATCAATTTACGAGTGAAAATGTATGCTGAAACGAAAAATATTTCATATTTTCACCTAAATTTCAACTTATTTGTCAGATACATATTAATAATATAACGATCAGCAAACATCTTAAAAATTGATAATTATTTAAATTCAATACCTAGTTCTATGGCGTAATTTTACCAATATCGCGTAGAAGGCAATAGAAACGACGGAGATTAACCGGTAGAAGTAAGACATTTTATACTCAGTTTTCACTAAATGTAAAATAAGTATATCATTACAATATCTGGAACTAAAACAAACAAGATGACAAAATATATTATATAAAACTAGCGACTCATCCACGCTTCGCTCGGGTTCGTCCCTACCTTGCTTCCCCATACAAACTTTACGAACGACGAACCCGAGCGAAGCGAGCGAATTAAATAAATATTTGACAATTTTGTAATTAACTCTTATTTACTTTTTTTAAACATATTTGCCGGTCATTATAACAATGTAACTTTCAAAAATATAAGACTGAGTCAATATTGTTTTTTAAATTTCGTCATTATACCAGCTACGTATGAAAATAGTATCTTTTGTAGAACAAAGTATCTTAAAATATTATTACTGGATACTTATATTTAAGTTACAAAATAAAACCATTTGAATTCATTTGTAAATATGTCTTTCTACAATTCGAAAGTCTTTTATACTTAGATATTCAAATATATATATCCATTTTTCCATATCACTTTGTTCTACAATGTATGTATGTATATTGTATATGTACTAAATTAAATAGACACTTATCACAATATTTTAAGCTTTATTGTACCAAGTAATTGCTGTTAAATGAAACGCTTTTAAAGTCAATAATTGAAAAACAACGTAATATTTCAGAATAAGTATTTTGTTTTTGTGAAAATATAATTTTAAATTATTTTAAAGTGCTTATAAATTTTCTATAAAAAAATTATTGTTCCATCCTTAAGGGTGGAATCTATTTTTTTTTTAATTTATTTGAACCACCCTTGAAGTATAAACTGTTAAAAAAAAATATAATAACCGATTTACAATTGACGTAAACTACTCCAAAAATGAAGACGAATTAATTTGGATCTCAAGATCAAATATTTTTATTTAAACTCGACCAAAAAAGAGTCCATATGGCATATTTTATCTATTTCTGGTATATAAGCAACTATATATATGTATTAATACACATTATGCGTAAGTATAATTAATCATTAAAACTTATTTATTTTTAATTTAAATTTTATGCCAAAACGTTCTTGTTCATTAAATAAGAAAATAAACACTATTCATTCGCGTCATACGTCCGTTTTTAAGATACGTCAAATGTGTACTAAATTGTAATTTCAACAATAGAGCACCGATAAAAGTCGTTTTTTTTTTTAATTAAAAGCAAATCTAGAAAACGTGTTTCAGAAAATACAGTTTATGAAAAAAAAAACTATTATTTAAAGTAATTTAGTATCTTATAATATTCAGAACTTACATAAGTGAAAAAATAAAACTTAACTATTGCATTGGAATATTTAACTCAGAATTATTATTATTTAGGTTACATTTTGGCATAAACAAATTAATTTAGCACTATTTATATTATAGTGTCACTATGCACATATTACACTATAGTGTCTCGGATTACAGTGCATGTGAGTTTAACATAATATTATACTTAGAATTGAGATAATACAAAAGAGCTTAGCAAACTCAGCACAATTTTCTTAATTTGTAGAATTATTTTTAATTAAACATAATATGCTTACTGACCATTATAGGAACATGAAATAAGTCAAGAAAAGTCGGAAAAAGCAAATAAGCTGTTTTGAAGCCGTCAATAATAGATATTTCGGCTTAAATTAGCTGTAAAAAGTATAAAACAGTACATTTTACTTTCGAAGTGACGCTTTGAGTAATAAATAAGACTGATTTACTCAAAAAAAAAAGAGTCTATTCACGCATTTTGTACTAAAAAAACGTTTCCTAATTAGTCACTATTTAATTTCATATAGTATAACTCACTCATTACGTCTAAATTCTTGTCGCCACTCTTATGCGATTGTTTTATTAAGAGCTTTTAAATTTTCACTCTTTACATATTTGTTTAGATAATTATCTTCACTATTAAGTCAAAAATGAGTTGAGTTGATATGAGTCAGCTATGAGTTAGTGTGAGTTATAATATAAAATATTATTTTCTAAATAAGTCTATTGGTAGACAAAAATAATGTGATTATATGTATACTAATAATATACAGGTGAATTTTTTAAGTGATTATAGATAGTGAAATTAAAAATGAGCGTAAAAGTAAAGTAATCAAAAAATCGTGAGGATCATTTTTTTTAATACTAAAACGTATCGTAAAGTATAGCTTTTATACTATGACCAATTAAAAAAAACTATATTAATGATTTTAATAATATATATATTTTAATAATATATAAATATTTGACAATTAAGAAATTGACAAATATTCGCGTAAATCTTAAAAAATATTATTGTGACTGACTACATTCTAAAAATAAATGGCAAATGAAGAAAATAAATAATCATTTTATATTTTTTAATTTCAATATATTGATATTTTTAAACATTTACGCTTTTTATACTTAAAAAATTCATCCTGTACACCAAAAAAAGAAAAAAAAAGAAAAGGTCACTACATCCATTCCCTGCACCGACAAGATAGCATTTCTATTAACTATAATTTTACTTACTATATGAGTTTATATGAGTTTGAGGATTTATAGGTTCGATTACCGGTTGTGCCAAATAAATAAAAAAGAAAAAAAGAATATAGGCGGAGTATAAAATAAACAAAATTTGTGCTAAATTTATTCTAATTAGCATATTAGAAATAAAACTCACTTATTAACTAAAACATATACCTCAAACTCATTTACGTAACTCAAATACAACAAAAAAAATATGTTGTATATTTTATACATATATATTTATATATTATAAATATACATATACGTCCGACCAGAATATCTGAACACATTCAGTCTTATGTTTTATTTTCATTCACTATTTGGATGGTTCATTCACTCGTTCATTTTAATATTTCTAAGGTAAAGTCGAACGGACATACAGACTTCACAATTAATAATTGATGTTAAAAACGCTTCACAATTGGCACATTTTATTATTTTATTAGAGAAAATTTATTGTAATTATTTGTCAGGTTATATTAAAATTTTAGTGAAGATCAAATCGATCAAAAAAGTACTAGATATACAATCCCATGCAAAAGTTCTCTTAAAACTGTCACCAATTGTGTTGAGGTAATTGTTATAGTTGAAATAAATATACAACAATGTAAATTGAACCTTAAATGCAATGCTTAAAGTTGTTTTCACAAAGAAAATATTAAAAGAGCGGTTCAATGTTCAAATGAGCGCTCATTCAGTGAGGACATTTTTTGTCGCTTTTGATCGATAGAAAAGTAATAATATTTTAACTGATAAAGAAAGAAGAATAATAAAAAAGGTATTTTTTTTTATAATTACTTAAACAATTGTACAAAAAGTAGTCTCATTTTTTATAAATACAAAATATATTTTATTAAATATTATTGTAATAGAAAATCACATAATTCTGTAAAACAATTATTTATTCACTTTACTTAAAAAAATAATATTGTAATACTGATTACTGAAACATAATTCTTCCCTTGCCTATAAGTGTCACAAAAATTTTTGACAGTTACAATTTTTAACTACCTACCTAATTTTTTTCATAATATTATTTCTTCTAAGCGGAAAACATTTTTTTTATAATTATTTGTGTGTCTGTACGTTATTGACTTATGTATATATATAATTCTGGTCAGACTAAGTACTATGTTCTCAGGCGCCCACTTTATTTCTTCGTTTATTTAGAAGAGAGTTGTTCGACTGTTCTAGAGCTTTTATTTGGACCTGTAAAAGAAATAGTTAATTATCAGATAAAACGTCTAAAATCAAATAAAACGTGTAATATACAGCTTCATTTAATAGATTTATTCTTTACATTTTCTTATTTTTTAAATTTAAATTTGTTATAAATTTACAACATCCTTTTATGTATTGGGTACATGTTACAATCAAAAGTAACAAATATATTTAATTTTAAAATTACTAGCAATTAACTAGCATTTTCCTGGAGCTCCGCACGCTTTCTAATATATTTAAATATATTCCAATTTTACTGTATGCATAGATTCATTAATTTTATTCGATTTTTTTTTTCGAATATAAGAATAGAAGGAATTGGAGGAAGCGGGATGTGGAGGAAGAGGGATGTGGAGGAAGAGGGATGTGGAGGAAGAGGGATGTGGAGGAAGTGTTTGTGCGTGTGTGTCTGTGTGCTTGTATATGCGTGCATGTATCACACACGAACACATTCATACGTGCACACGCATACATACACACGCTATACATGTGATTTTTGTTCAATTTTTGTATTCTTTTCTGTATAATGGTCATTCACATACATACTATTCGCATACGGCACGCAAACATAGGAGTCTACTGGCACAGTTATTTCATTTGTTTAAAAGGGATCTTCCAACCCTAAACGTGTGATTGTATTTGAATGTGTGATTGTGATTAAATGTGTGATTGTGATTGAATGTGTGATTCTTATTGAACGTGTGATTGTGTTTGAATGTGTGATTTGTGTTTAACTGAAATAAATTCTTTTTACCTGATCGTAGTCGACGCGCATGGTGGCGAGCGAGCGCGTCATCTCGTCCTGCACGTCGGCCCACGCGTCGCCCGCGTCGCGCAGCAGCGCGTGCGTGTACAGCGGCGTCTGCGGCACCTGCGTGAACTGCCGCACCCACGGGCTGGACATCACCTGGTGGAGATGACATCATCATATAGTATGGTTAACATGGCTGCCAGACAGTCGTTGATTTACACGACCAATAAACCTCAAAATACCCGGTTTATGGACATCACCTGACGGGTGTTCATCATCATCTATGGTTATCATGTCTGCCAGATAACACTCGTTGATTTACACGACCAACAATACGCTTTGCATCTTCTCTCCTAATTTTGATGTATGTATGTATTCTAGTAACATCGGAAACTGTTATTGGTTAAGTTTTGTTAATTAATTTCTATTCTATAGTTTTCGTTAATACCGTTTGTTTCCAAAAAAATAAATAAACAAACCTCAAAATACCCGGTTTATCTCGCCAGCGCCAACCACGAGCGGAATACACGAAAATCGTTTTCTTTAAAGTAATTTATTTATGTTTCATACAGAATAAAAGAAGACAGCTTTAAATTACTAAATCAAACATAGAAAAAATGAAAATATCAAATTAATCTGCTAAACTAAAATATATACCTCCCGTATAAACAATATATATATCCCACTCTATGCAAACACTCGTCAAAATTACCCGCTATCAAAAATTGTCTAAAATTACCCGCTTTTCGGGTAATTTACCCGCCAATTGGCAGCGCTGATGGTTAGATATAAGGCAGTGATAGCCCAGTAGTGACACACTCGCTTGAGAAGCCGAGTGAAGCGGGTTCAAATCCCGGGTCGCCCACTTCTGATATTTTCATGCGCGAATCATTAACAACATGATCACCGCTCGTCTTAAGGCGAAGGAAAACATCGTGAGGAAACCTGTATGTCTGAGAATTTTCGCAAGACATGTATAGTCTGCCAATCTACGTTTGGCCAGCGTGGTGGACTATGGCCTGATCCCCCTCGTATTGAAGGGAGGCCCACGCCCAGCAGTGGGACGTTAAATAAATGCTGAATATAATACAACTGTTGAGTTTCTCTTCTTAGCAGAACTGCTTTCTGAGCCAATGGTAAGGAACCTCCTAGTTACGCTCGTTTTTCTTCATATCTCAAAGTCAAAGCGGAGTACGGCAGTGAAACTCACATGAATCGCTTTTCTACATAAAGCCCTTATTGACACATAAGTTTCGATATAGGTCGCCATTAGGTGACCGATTCGTTGTACAGGTATCATTTAAATTTATATACAATTTTTGAGAAGAAAATAGGTTTCTCAGAAATGAGATAAGTAAAAAATATCTTATATATTGACCTGGATAACCAGCTATCATCATACCAAAATTTCATCAAAATCTGTCCAGTGGTTTTTCCGTGATTCGGTCACAAACAAAAATTCTAAAAACTATAGATTCAGGCTCTGTATCGATGATAATGTCTATTTCAATAAGATTTTCCAAAAAATATTTAATGTACAAATTCGGTTTAGTTTTAAATTTTTGTCTGTCTGTATGTCTGTCTGTTTCTTTCAGATATTCTCTGAAACGGGTGCACTGATTTTGTCGAGACTTTCACTAAAAGATAGCTGATGTAATAGGGAATAACATAGGCTACTTTTATTTTAGAAAAAGAATTAGGGTTCCGCCCTAAAAATTAAAACGTACCTAGAGACGTACATACTAGAGTCGCTGGTATAATATATATATATATATATATATATAATATATATATATATATATATATGTAGTATTATTTTGTCGTGAATTCTGTACTTACTTGATGTATGGTCAATCTCTTCGCCGGATCGACTGAGAGCATTCCTCTAATCAAATTCTTTGCTTCGGACGACACGTTCGACCACTCCGGCTCGGGAAAATCGTATTGACCCAATCTTATACGCTGTGAAAATATATAAAAATGATCGTTTTAGCCGTCCATACTTAATATTAAAAATGGGAAAGTGTGTTTGTTTGTCTTTCTTTCACGTCGAAACGGAGTGATGGATTGGCGTGATTTTGTTGTAATTTTAGCGCAAGCGAAGCCGCGGGTTCTGCTAGTTGTTATATAAAAACATAGATACACAATTCCTAATAAATATCTCTTCAAAAAGTTGCGTCGACATGTGACGTTAAGTCACACCAAAGAATAACATTCAAAAATCGAAAGTTCTAATTGTCTAAACACAAATTCGAACTTACGCACACCACATAAAGTACTTTTTTAAACGAAACAACGTATTTTTTTAATTTTTTGTTTGCAGAATTTATGGCAAAAAGTTAAATTTTGATTTTTTTTAATAATTAATTGGGAATGTGTATATTTGACGACACGTTTGGCTCAGTTTGTAGTGACCCTACTTGCTGTCCCAGCGGTCGCGGGTTCAAGTCACGCTGGGGGCACTTATTTGTGTGATAACCACAAATATTTGTACTCCAGTCATGGGTGTTTATATTTATAATATGTATGTATTTGAAGTTATATATGTATAGTGTATCTACTATAAGGTATCCATAACACAAGCCTCGTAGCTTACCATGGAACTAGATGGTGCTGTGTGTTACTGTCACAACGGCCAACATATTTATTTAATATTTAATTTATCATTCCCTCAGTTTGAAACGGCTGGACCGGTTAGGATAAAATTTTGTGCACAGATAGACCATGATCTGGAGTAACAAAACCCTTAGAGTAGTAGTATTAAATATTACATTACCTTTTTCATTCCCGGCGATATTGCGAGACCGTGGTTCGAGTAAAATGGCGGAAAACCACACAACAGTATGTACATCACTACTCCTAAAGACCATATGTCACAAGATTTGTCATATTTCTCGGGGCCTAGCACCTGGAAATAAAATATAAAACAAATTATTATCCCTCTTATTTTCTTTTATGGGTTAAAATTACTCGTACAGATAAAGAATTAGGGCAGTGGTAACCCAGAGGTAGCTGCGCGGTAGAAGCGGGTTCAAATCCCGGTTCTCAACTCTCGTACTTACCTCTGATATTTTCATGTACCACTTGTCTTAACGGTGAAGGAAAACATCGTGAGGAAACCTGCATGTCTGAGAGAACCTAGCAAGTTGTCGAAGGACATGCTCAGTCCCCTCGCACTTGGCCAGCGGACTATGGCTTGGTCCCCTCTGGTCCTCTCATCGAAGGGGGCCCACGCCCAGCAGTAGGACGTTAATTACCACTGCCTTAGTAATTAATACATAATAAGTATAAATTACCTCAGGAGCCACATAATAAGGGGTATAGCAGGGCGTCTGGAGAGTGTCAGCTTGTGTTAAAGTTTCCTTTGCAAAACCGAAATCGGTCAACTTCAATATGGCGTTAGGTTCCATACTGGTGTACAGCAAATTTTCAGGTTTGATGTCCCGATGAGCGATGTTTGAGTCGTGTAGGTGACGTACTGCTACGCATATTGAATGCATTATCTGCAATGTTATAGAAAAATATCAATTTTTATCGCAAAATGATACCAATAGTGTATGTATGAACCCTAATTATTTTACTAAAATTAAAGTACCCTAAGTTACTCTTTATAAAATCGGCTATCTGCCAGTGAAATTTTATAATTTATATTTTCATTTACAGTTTTTTTAGTTATAGCCAGTTATATGTATATTATACATTGAAATTTAATTAACAATTTGTTTGCCTAAATTTCTTCTAAACATATAAGTTGTCTATATTTTTGTGCGCCACGCAAGAACGCCACTTAAAAATCTTAATTTTGATACCACACTCGATAAGCTTGGAATACGAATTGGCGCCTGAGATCCACCATTTTGATTTTTAATAATATCTACACAACACTCTCGTTATTGAGACCAATCTAACGACGTAATCATCGAAAACGTCGTCACCGTTTAGTAATTACGAGGGAACCTATCGGACATATGTAGACATTCATACATACAGGTCAAACACATAACCCTCCTTTGGGGTAAGAAAATAGGGTGGCACTACCATGTACTGAAGGGAGGCCCGTGCCCAGCAGTGGGACGTTAAAAAAGGGCTGAACACAATACTCCCATGTAGTTACATAATCCATACATACATTCACACAGGGATGAAAAACGTATTTAAATTTAAATGAAACAGAAAACCTCACTATCTATCTCACCTCAGCAGCCTGCCTCTCTGTGAATGCACCCTCCCTGTTATCCTGTATCCTCTGGAACAACTCGCCGCCGTCCATACACTCCATCACCACTAGAAGACATCGCTTCCCGCCGTAAGTGTTGTCGTAGACGTCGATGATCTGAAAAAGAACGCTTCAGTATTTAGTACTTATTGCATTTTTCCTAGTTTTCTGTCATTTTCATCATGGGGGGTGAATTTCAGGGTTCTCTTGGGTGTAAATTTAGTGAGGGGCCTGGGTTAACACTTCTTGGGGGCCTAAAAATGACAATCATTTTAATTAATAAGAATTTAACTAATTACTCGTTACTCGTTTTGCCTTTATAAAATCTATAATAATAGATGGCACTAGAAGAAATTGAGCACACTATTGTTTGGTTATTGTTAATTGATCTCTGGCTTTTTCATTAGTGGAACCTTCTATGGCCTTAATTGTTTTTATTTAAGATAATTTTTATATTATAAATTCACCATATTATTCATTATTATCAACAAAGAGCCTGTTATATCTTAGGGGCCCAAAAAGCCTCTACATGGCTCCATCCCTATGGTAAACACTTCCTTATAATAATAATGCCCTCTTAACAGATTTCAGTTAAGTTAGCCAATCTCACTGAGACTAACTAAATGTTCGAAAAATTATAGTGTAGTGCGTGTGCGCAGACAAAATGTGCACTCTCTATCTCTTTCACTAACATTTTGATCTTGATGGAATTTAGCACAGCGATAAATTATAATTTGGAATAGAACATGGATTACTTTTTATCCCGAAAAAATGTACAGTTCCCGTGGGATAGATTTATTTTTGTCTAGGGACGAACCCGAAGCGAAGGTGAGCCGCTAGTTTTCTATATATTCTTTCTATTGTTTTTCTTGGAAGTCATGTAAAATCGCAGGCAGAAGTTCTTCTAAGTACCGTTCACTCGATATCTGAATTAGGTATCTTATCTTAAGTAGGTCATGGTTCGAACACCGTAACAAAAGAAATTATCATTCACGCAAACCATTGATTTATTGCCTTAGCATGGGGAATCCCCGGGGAAATTATCCTTTTTTTAAAAACGCCTGCTGATCGGTTGGCAGCGTTAGGTGTCTACTGAACTGAAAAATACTTGTATTATTGGTTAGGGCAAATATTATCGAGTTGAAGAGATGACTTGTACCTAATGCTTTGAACTCGAAGTAATTGATATCAAAATATTAAATAAAAATACGGTTATTATGCAACTTGAAGTGGACTTGTAATAGACGTTAAAGTAGAAGTTGTTATAGAAGTAGACTCAATAATTAAATTGAATGTAAATTAAATAAGTATACAATTACATCAAGTGAATGATAGTAATGTCCTTTTAAAACATTCGGCGTTTCATTCGATTGAAATGAAAAAGATGTTATTTAAAAAAAAAACTATGAGAACGACTTTCTTTGAAGTCGGTTAATAAGTAATGCCTTTACACTGTATTAATATAGGACGTATATATGTGAGAGAACATGCGACCGGTGAAAATCGTCACATCGCGTCGGTGAGAATAACAAATTGATCAGAATGACGATGGGTTTTACCCGACTGTGGCGAAGCAAACGGAGGGTTATGATTTTGACCGGTAACTATGTATGTATGTTCATGTTTCATACTTTCAAGCGTCATGATCGTCCATCTTAATGTATAGAATTCATGGGCCATCTATGAAATTTAATTAGGATATAAAATGGAGACAGAAATAATCTTTATTATTTCCATCCCGCTTACGTACCATTGGACCCTCCTACCCGGATAATGGGATATGTCAAAAGGAATGAAAGATTTTTTTTAATGATCTGTGTAAATACATATACCTATATTTTCTTTTAAAGTAATATTTATTACCCTCAGTGTAAATGAGATTTGATGAGATTTTACTGGGCCCCCTCCTCCATTTTGAGTTTAAGTAATCAACGAATACCCCCTTATATGTACTTATATGGATAGCAAAGTGAAGTTGTGACGCAATAACATACCTACACATTATAACGAGTAAATAAGACATTTATTCCACCGTACTATGGGTTTTCCTACAATGTAAGACGCAGTTCAGTTAAACGATCTAATTATATTCATGACTAACCTTAGACAACCAGAATTTCTATAATGGATATCTACTATCGATACCTGTATATATAATATCGATGTCAATCGATACCAATTTTTTTAATTTTAATGTACACTAACTTTAAAATTAAATATTCCACTCGTCCACGGGTGGAAATTTTCTTATATACCACTACCCTTGAGGTATTTATAACCTGTTCATTAAAAAAAGAAACTAGAAAATCGATTCACCAGTGGCGCAGAATGTGACATAACGCTTCGATGTGACATTTCTACACATACCGTAACAAAATTGTAACTGGGTTTTAGCATCATTTAAAAAAATATATTTTCATATACTCATATTTATTATTACTTAAACTCTTCGTATTCAGGCCTTTTTAAAGAACCACTGCTGTGCGTGCATAACAGAGTATGCCCCGAGACTTCTCTTAGCTTTTTAACCCATTCATTTTGCAAAATTCAGAACTAAAATGCGATTTATAAGCAACTATACCTATATACCCACATCTATACTAATATTATAAATGTGAAAGTGTTAGGTTCCCATCACACCAGAATATGAAAGTGAATTAATAGAAAAATCGATACCTACCATCCGCTCAGACAGAACGAAAACCGGCAAGAAGGACATAAATAAGGTCACTTAAATCAATTTGAAACAGATATAAATAATTTGTCATCTATACATATAATAAAATTGTAACTAAACCGAAACTGTACATTAAATATTTTTTGGAAAATCTTATTGAAATAAACATTATTATCGATACAGAGCCCGAATCTATAGTTTTTAGAATTTTTGTCTGTCTGTTACCGCATCACAGAAAAACCACTGGAGGGATTTTGATGAAATTTAGTATGGTGATAGCTGGTTATCCGGGTCAACATATAGGATACTTTTTACCGCGAGAAAATATATCATTTCTGAAAAAAATATAAAAACTGCAATGTAAGAGTATACTAATATATAAAACCTATGCACGAACTTACGTAACTTTAAAGCTTCTTTTATATCACGAGAAAAAAATATTTTTTGGTCAGAAATATTTTCACATACTTAGTAATAAACAGGCCACCCGTATTTAAAACCCATAGCGGTTCGATGAAAACAATATGCTTTTCACTTAAATATGAGAGTATATTTGCTAATTTGTATCTCACCAGATCTTTGTTACGTGTTTTGGGGGGTTCCAACCCCACCATGGGAACCTACCGTCCGTCTACAGCCAGCTGTCTGACTCTTAAGGCTTATGGATACCGCGTTTTATAAATACGCCAACGACGTACTTAGCATGCCCATATGTACATATATCATCTGTATACATATAGGTATTCTGCGCTGAAAAACTTAAAAAAAAGATCACTTACGCGATACAAATGTTTGAAAAGCGCAAGTCGTGAACATATGCCTTTATCACTAAAACCAGTGCAAAGGGATTGAAGAAGATTGCCTCACCACTCAAACAAACACGTCCAATTAGAAAATTCTCTCCCGTGACCATGAGGCTGTAAAGCATTCGAAACGTCGTCGGGAATCAAAAATCAAAATAAATCCGCGATAAAATCCGAAAATATAGTTTTATTTAAAATGTCAAATATTTGCGTAAATCTATATTAATCCCCTATAGGTATTAATCCCCCCACGACCGCGGACGCGCCGGCGTGTCAGTTAACAATAGATTTCTTAGAATTTTAATTAATTTCTTAGAAATTTACCTGGAGGTGTTAAGGGAAAAATTCTTACGTACCTCAACAATATGGATGCAGCCACTCGCACGCCAATGTAACTCCACCTCACGCCTCGCTTTCGCACTGTCGTGTAAAACCTTCAGCGCGCGCTTCATTCCCGTTCTCTTTTCCTTGCATTCTAATACCTGGAAGAAAAAAACAAACTTTAGATATCTTGCTGAGTCAAATGTAACTTAAGTTATTGAATAAAAATACAAGTACCCGCTAGTAATTTTGAAAAGACATGTGAAGTCCGCCAACCTGGACTTGGCCAGCTTGGTGGACTATGGCCTAAAGCCCTGAATACAAAGGTATTAATTAAAGGGAGACCCACGCCCAACAGTGAGACGTTAATAAAGGGCTGAATACAATAGATATTAATTTAAATTTTCGACCAACTTCAAAAAAGGAGGTAGCTGAGTACCAAATCTCGTGTATGATTGTTTGTGTTTATGTTAAGCGAAATCTTTGTGAATACTAAACTGATTTTAATTATTCTTTTTTTAATAAACAAGTAATACATCCGGGGTTCCATATAATTTTCAAGATAAAATCTATCCTTAGAATCGAATAATTCTTTATGGATTTTTAATAGAAAATACATTATATTTTACATATAATTAGTCATTTAAGCTTGAACTTTTCAAAACCTATCCTATATGGTCCTATAAGGCTTCTCTTTTGACGTACGGAACCCTAAAAATGGAAGTTGAATGATAACTTATCGTGAAAATACAACGTATCGTAGAAGCACAGAAGATAAAACTTATATATAGATAAAACATATTTATTTTAGCTTTTAAGTTTTTTATAAATAACCATATCAACATCTTTACTTATAATAATGAGCCGAATCTGTACATTAAATATCTTTTGGGAAATCTTATTGAAATAATAATTATTATTGATTGATACAGAGGCCGAATCTATAGTTTTTAGAATTTTTGTCTGTCTGTCTGTCTGGGAACGCATCACGAGAAAACCACTGGACAGATTTTAATGAAATTTGGTATGATGATAGCTAGTTATCCGGGTCAACATATCCTATATGTTTACTTTTTACTGCGGAAAAAAATCTCATCTCTTAGAAATCTATAAGTACTACCTGTTAAAACGTACCAACCAACGTACAAACCAACTAGTTGACTTTATAAAAAAATAAAAGATTAATTTGTCATTATTTAAAAGATACATGTTATAAGATAATGGCAGATAAAAAAGCTATGAAAATGTATGAGAGAGGGTCTTGTTAAACTAAACGTAGGTGTGTTTGTATCAGAAATAGATCCACATATTATGTATAATAAGCTATTTTTATCAAAGCTATATATTGCTTTGATACTCGTAGTTTGGCGTGAGAAATTACTAGTACTTAGTAATTAATTAAAATCGAGTGTATTCAACTCACTTACAAAACAACGATTGTTGTTAGAATTTTCAACATTTTCCCATATTTTTATTCATTAGGTCCGTTTTGAAATATTGGTCAAATGCGAGTTGGATTCGAATGAAGGACGGTTCCTTACATTCAGGTATTCAAATAAATAAAATATAAATAAATATGTTGGGACATTACACACAGCACCATCTAGTTCCATGGTAAGCTACGAGGCTTGTGTTATGGATACCAGATAGTTGATACACTAATGGTTACTACACTAATAATTACTACAAATGTGTAAACTGTAAGTGAACTACGTAAAATGAATTAAGTTGCTGTATTTTTTTGTGAGTACTGCTACTTGATAGTTGATATCTTCGCCAGTTAAGGATCAATTTTTCATTATTCTTTTTTATATTGGTAATTGGAGCTCAAGGATGGTGTCAAATAAATCTATACATATAATAAAATTCTGAGTCGAATCTGGAGTTTAAATATTTTTTGGAAAATCTTATTGAAATAGTCATTATTATCGCTACAGAGGCCGAATCTATAGTTTTTAGAATTTGTGTCTGTCTGTCTGGGAACGCATCAGGAGAAAACTACAGGTCAGATTTTGATAAAATTTGGTACGATGATAGCTGGTTATCCGGGTCAACATATAAGATACCTTTTTTTGCGGGAAAATATTTCTAAGAAATCTATACTTACCATTAAAACATAATTAACCGTGAAATAAAAATGCCAACCCAAGGGTGGAAGGGCCTCACCCTAAGGGTTGAAAGGTTCCAACCTAAATATTTTCGAGTGATTTTGAGCTCAGTGTGACTTTTTTTTGTTAAAAAATACAAAGTACCTAATTCAAACCATACATTTTAATTATGTAGGTTGTTACCGATTGAAAGGTAGGTGATTGATTATTACTAATAAGGTTTACGTTACAATTTTTATCCGAATTAATATTATATACTAGCGGCTCACCCTCGCTTCGCTCGGGTTCGTCGCTAGGTACGTTTTAAATAGATATAAAAAGAAAAAATCTTTCTTTCTCACATTTTAATTATATGTTTTAATACTTACCTATTCCGGACTAAGAGAAATCCAAAAATTAAAATATCATAAAAATTGGAACGCGGTCGAACGGGATAAAAAGTATCCTATGTCCTTCTCCTGGCTCTAAACTACCTCCCTGCCAATTTTCAGCTAAATCGGTTCAGCCGTTCTTGAGTTATAAGCGAAGTAACTAACACGACTTTCTTTTATATATATAGATGTGAAAGTTTGTAAGTATGGATGTTTGTTACTCAATCACGCCAGAACAGCTGAACGGATATGGATGAAATTTGGCACAGAGATAGATTATAGTCTCGAATAACACTTATATCGCTACTTTTATCCCGGAAAAATTTACGGTTCCCGTGGGATAGGTTTGTTTTTGTTATTGGCGTTGTTGAGCCGCTAGTAGAATATAAGGAACCCTAAAATGTGACTCAGACGCTTATCACTAATTTGTATGTCAATACGATTCATCAGCACTCTGAATGGGACGTACCTGATTATATTATTGTGTGACGTCATTAAATATTGCGTCATATTTTGTAGAATGCATATAAACTATAGTTTGGCTCAGTTTGTAGTGACCCTACTTGCTGTGCCAGCGGTCGCGGGTTCGAGTCCCGCTGGGGGCATTCATTTGTGTGATGAGCACGAATGTTTGTACTCCAGTCATGTGTGTTTATATTTATAATATGTATGTATTTTAAGTTATATATGTGTAGTATATCAACTATTTGGTATCTATAACCCAAGCCTCGTAGCTTACCATGGAACTAGATGGTGCTGTGTGTTAACGTCCCAACATATTTATTATTATTATTATTTATATATTGTACTAGTGAAGCGCCCACGTTTGGTTAAGGGTGCACCGAGGCAAATACGAAATAATTGCGTTCGTTTGATCCCTTGCTGTATTGTTGTTACTAAAACTTTAATTAAGTATGTAATTAATATGTAGGATATTTATGGATTTATTCTATAAATCGTACACTTTAGAAACACGATTATTTGTAGTTTCCTCGATAGAAAAAAAAACAAAAACAAAAAATGATATCTAAAAAACAAAATAAACCCTTAGTGCGGCGTAAATAATTCAAGGAAGTCCATTAGTTTTTTTTTAATAATAACCAAACAGCACGTTTTCTATAACGTATACACGTAACATTTTCAAAATGCGTATTTGTTTTAATAATACGAAAGAAATACCTAAATTCGCACGCGTTCCGTCCATCCTAGCCACACACTAAAAAAAAAAAAGCTCGATTACCCCCCCCCCCCCCCTTCCCTTAAGCGCATTTCTAAATAACATTTTAAGCAGACTAATAAAATACCCCCCATTTTAACTAGATATGCGAATAATAATTAAAAAAAAAGTAATAAGCTATCGGTTTAATAATATTTGTGAATTAAGTTGAAAAAAGCTACCGGGAGCTTACGTAATAATATAAATGCTAAAGCTCTTAGGGACGCTGCGTAGCTAATCTAGTATTATAATACTAGCGTTTTCCTGCGGCTCCGCCTGAATAGTACATTAATTACCAACGTGTCATATACTAAAACCTTCTCCGAAACACGCCGCATCTTATGGTATGACTATTATTCCGATCGGTTCAGTAGTTATCGCATTATAACCGAACAAAAAAAACGGCTCTCCATTTATTAGTATAGATTATATAGTACCTAATCTATAAGTCTTTGTAACTACTTGATATGGTGACTTGCAACCATACATAAATGGAGGTAAATATTTTTATTGGTTTGTTTTCACGCCTTAATCTCTGGAACGCGGAACCGATTTTAACGCGATTCTATGTAGACGATGAAGAATTCATAAGAAAAGTCATAGACTGGGTACTTTATGACACGTAAGGAGTAGGAATCTCCTGTATTTATAACTTTTTAAGGATAGGTAAAAACTGTAAATGGTTACAGTGAAACGAGTCGGGGTCGAGCATAAGATAGGTTTTTGTTCAAGACTTTTTAATTACTTTTTTTTTAATATTTTAAGCGCTGATTACGATTTCTATATAGATATTCATTGCTATGCAGACGATAGCACTGTGGATGCGCTGTACACTGGCCGCGCTAATATTTCTCGGGAATACGTCGACGAGAGCCGGAACAAACTTGTGTCTGAAGTCGAATCTCTGTTAACCAAAGTCTCGGATTGGGGTCGACTAAACTTAGTCCAATTCAACCCCAAAAAGACACAAGTTTGCGCGTTAACCGCTAAAAAGTCGCCATTTATCGTAGCTCCTCAATTTGAGGACACTCCTCTGTCTCCCACAGCCAGTATCGGAATACTTGGCGTCGACATCTCGAGCAACGTCCAGTTCCGTGGTCAATTGGAAGGTAAGGCCAAACTGGCCTCAAAGAAGCTTGGTGTGCTCAGCAAGGCGAGACAGTACTTCACGTCGCGTCAGCGTCTTATTCTTTATAAGGCGCAAATTCGGCCCCACATGGAGTACTGTTCTCATCTTTGGGCGGGAGCTCCCCAGTACCAGCTACTTCCATTTGACCGCATTCAACGTAGGGCGATTCGAGTTATCGACGATCAAGCTCTCTCTGATCGGCTTGATCCTTTAGCTCTGCGTAGAGATGTTGGATCACTCTGCATCTTCTACCGCATCTATCACGGGGAGTGTTCCGAGGAATTGTTCGGACTGATCCCGGCTGCCGAATTTCACCATCGGACATCGCGCCAAAATA